AATTTGCATCATTTTACAGATGAATCAACAGACACAGAGGTTGAGTTGCCAGCCTCCTGTGGGGCAGACACAGGATGTGGAGCCTGTCTGCCCACCTTCCAGCCCCAGCCACCACTGAAGCTCTACGTGCTGGGAGGAGAAGCTATCCAGCTACAGGACATGCTTTATGCTTTCTCTTCCCTGGCAAACTTCCTGATATGACATCTTGGTTCTGAACTGAAGGCTGGGCAAGGACATACAGTCTGAGCAGAGAGGAGACACTAGGAGTAGCCATGTTGCAGTCTTCTCTTGTGGGAAGCTAGGCTCTAACCCAGGCAGCTCAGGAAAATGGCACCCAGCTCCCCACCTGACACCGCCCTGGGAAACAGGTGGGGCCAGGGGCCATGGCTGGAATGCTGATCTTTGCTCCTCTCCAGAAGGGACAGAGAGATGCCTATTTGTTCCCACTGAAGGTATCTTCTCTTTTTCCAGCTGCACAATGTAGGAGTATTTATTATGATACGGGCCCCTTAACTCATTAAAACTCTCAGGTCCTATTTCATGGACCTGCAGAGAGATCTTGAGTGGCTTTGCCAGAGTTGCCTACAGAAGAGGGAAACCCCAAATTTAAATTCGGGGATACAGAGTCAATTACCATAGCCTACATCTTCCCTCAAGAGATATAATTCCAGTAAGTCCAAGATCCTGGATAAGAAGTCTTCCAGTATCTGAGGTTCCTTTCTCTTGTATCTAGTCCCCTAAAAAGACCTTGATCCTCCCTGTTCTTCTTCCTGCTCTGCCATGTCCTAAATATGGCTGCAGGAGCTGTCTGTCCTAGCCTGGGTCAGGGAGGGTGTCTTTAATTGTATTCTATCTCAGGGTTGCTTCATTTGGTAAGCATAAGCTCCCTTTATTCTAGGAATTCATGTTTGGGGAGGAAGCTGTTCATACCTACCTTTCCATCTCTCAGCCTCTGGCTTTTCATGGTGAAGACTTTGTACAAAAAAGTGATTTAGATAAAGGGTCTTCTGGATTCCAGGTCTGTTCCTGGTTCTGCCTCAGTCTCATTTTCTTTCTCTGCATTGATTGAGAATAAAGGACCTTCCAAAGGACAAGGAAATGAACAAAGAGACCTTTGCATTCAAGAGGGTGAAAAAATAAAATTGTTCCTTGTGTTGGGTGCCAGTGGCTCATGTTTATAATCCTAGCTAATCAGAAGGTGGAGATTTGAGAATGGAGGTTCAAAGCCAGTCAGGAGAAGAAAAGTTCATGAGACTCTTCTCTCCAAGGACAGCAAAAAGCCAGATGTGGTAGTACAACTCAAGTGGTAGAGTGCTAACCTTGAGCACAAAGCTAAGAAACAGTGTCCAGGCTCTGAGTGAAAGCCCCAGTACTTCCATTCACCCCTAAAACAACCTGACCCCTGTGAAGTTAGATGAGTGGATAGAGGTGAAGCATGTAGCTTGCATCTGGCACATGCATAGGTTGGGTCCTCCCTGGTTGCGTGAAACATCAGGGAGTTGGTTTGTGCTGGAGCCAGAAGCACCTGTGGAGACTCATGAGGCTGGGTGCTTGGCAAGGTTAGGCCAAGTACATCACAAAGTACTTTCCTGATTCAGCCTGCAGGGTAAACAGCAGGTTCGGTTGATGACATGCCACAGCTCCTAGGAAAGTGACCTAAGTTGTATTTTTTTTTTATTATGGACACAGAATTGCAAGTGATGCTCATTTGCATGGTGATGGGGAGTTTATTTCTTTCCCAGAAACTGCATGTCAGGACCTAAAAAAACCCAAAAAACAAAAGAGGGATTTCTTCCTAATGATTAATCAGGTGTATCACAAAGAAGAAGAAAAAAAGAAAAACACTTAAGGAAATGAAAGAGGGGGAAAAAAACAATCTCCTGAGCATGGATCCACCCAGCGAATCCTGACAGCGTTTCCTCTTACCCACTTGATAAAAGTGACCAGCCCTCCCCAAGTGGCAGAGAGCACCTGGGGAGAAGACACCTGAGCGGCTGGTCTGCACGGTGAGATGGGGGGGGGGGTGGTAGTGGTGGTGCAAGCTCCATCCCTGGCTTTGCTTCTCATGATTCAGGCCCTCAGCCTTCATACTACGGGGTGGCCTGTCACCACTGTGCATGCCTGCACTGCCCTGGGTATTAGGGCTTCCGTAGAATGGGAAGGGGTGGTGAATTTTCTGGTACCTTCACTCAGTGAAAAGAGATAAAGGATGGAAAGAAGAAGAAAGAAAAAAATGAATGAAGGAAAGAAGAAAGGAAGGGAAGAAAGGAAAGAAGGAAGGAAAAAAAGAAAAGAGGGAAGGAAGAAATAAAAGGAAGGAAAGAAGGAAGGAAGGAAAGACAGAAAGGAAGGAAGGAAAGACAGAGGAAGGAAGGAAAAGAAAGGGAAGAAGGAAGGGAAAGAAAGGAAAGAGTAAAGGAAGGATGGACAGAAGGAAGAAAAGAGGAAAGGAGGAAGAAGGAAGGAAATAAAACAAAGGCAAGGAAGTAATGTCTTAACTATTGCCATTTCATTCTATGAACTTTATAAGTTATAACTTTATAACTTTATAAGTTATACCTTATATGTTTTATTTATTAAAAATGTATTGTTATTACAAAGGTGATGTATAGAGGGGTTACAGTTACATAAGTCAGGTAAAGTGTACATTTCTTCTTGGAAGATGTCTCCCAGTGTTTCCCTCCCAGCCCCACCCACAAACTGTATATTTTATTTTATTTTATTTTTGGGTCCAGTCGTGGGGCCTGAACTCTGGGCCTCGGCGCTGTCCCTCAGCTCTTCAGCTCAAGGCTAGCGCTCTACCACTTGAGCCACAGCATCAGTTCTGGCTTTTTTTCTTTTTGCTTATGTGGTGCTGAAGAATTGAACCCAGGGCCTCAGGCATGCAAGGCAAGTGCTCTACCACTGAGCCACCTTCTCAGCCCATGTATAGTTTATTTTAAAATACTCTTAACATTCTTTGCACTGGTAAATATCTTTTAAAGTGTAGAGTGCACCCCAGTGCCAGTAGGTCCCATTCAGAAGTGGTTCTCTTCTGGTGGAAAAACGAAGGGCTGGGATCTCCAGTTGAGGTGGGAGAGGGCAGCCCTCCGGTGGGAGGGGCTGGTGGCTTTCCCTTCAGCTGTTAGCTCTGTCATTGGGGGTCTGCTGAATGGGAATGTAGTTTGTCTCAGTTCCCTCACAGGCTGGTGGTGAGCACGCACATGATAATTGTGTGAAATGTTTCCAACACATGCGATGTGTAGGAGGTGCGTTACCTTCTATTACTATCTGAGTTGGCCAAGATGTCTAGAATGAGGCAGAGCTCAGGGAAGTTGCCACAGACTTTGCTGAATGTGGGGCTGATCTCCTGTCTTTTCTTAGGAAGAAATGAAAACAGAGAAATAGAAGTATTTAGCCTACTGCCTGTCCCTCTCTCAGATGAGGGCAAGGGCTCTGAATACTCCTGCCTGGCCTCTCGGAAGGGCAGGAGCTAGGGAGAGGCAGGAGTTGCTGGTTCTGGGCTTCCTAGAGAGGTAGCTGGGGAGTCCTAGAACAGTCTGATTCATGCCCTAGGCTCCTCCCCTTTTTAAAAAATAGTTATAGCCACTACTATCACAGTGAAGGGTCAGGGTGGAGGCTCTGTAGATCCCTAGCTGGCTTTCTAGGTTCAGAGCCCGACTCTTTTCTACTGCTACACAGGTTAGGCATGCTGAGCCCAGCCGGCACAACCGTGTTGGTCCATGGGGGACACTGGCAGTCCAGCCATATGTGTTGTTCTAAGACTCACCTTTAAGGCTAAGCTTTGTCTGTAAAGATTGTGCTACGGGTAGGGGTCAGAGAAAGATACTAAGCTGTACAATGAGGCGTGTGATGTACCTGTCTCCCCATGAGCATCATATGATGTGTGTGTGTGTGTGTGTGTGTGTGTGTGTGTATGAGTGTGCCAGTACTGGGGCTTGAACTCAAGATCTGGCTGCTGTCCCTCAGTTTTTTGCTCAAAGCTTATGCTCTACCACATGAGCTACATCCATAAATACCTGTGGTTTGTTGTTAATTTTTCTTTTTTTTTTTTTCTTTTTGTGGTTCATTGGAGACAAGAGTCTCACAGACTTTTGTGTCCAGGCTGGCTTCAAACCTCAACCCTCAGATCTCAGCTTCCTGAGTAGTGAGGATTATGGGCATGAGGCACCAGCACACGGCTCATGGGACACATTTTTAAACAAAGAGGTCAACAGAAACAAGCAAGAAGGGTACATGAGAGGAGGCAGCAAGTATCATGAAGTCTTGTTCTGCTGGAGAACTAGCTAGTTGCAAACATCTCTCTCTCTCTGTCTCTCTCTGTCTCTCTCTTTCTCTGTCTCTGTCTCTCTCTCTGTCTCTCTATCTCTGTCTCTGTCTCTGTCTCTCTGTTTCTCTGTTCTGTTGATGACAGATGTAAATCCATCAGCTTGGCCTCTTACAGGGAGAAGGCATTCCTCCCCTAGCTCCTCACTGTGACTAAGTAGTTTTTAAGAGATATCTGTGCCTTCTTTCCCCGCCTTCTCCAGAAGGCACAAATCTGCCTAGTTAGCTCCAAACAAATGTTTTGAAGCAGATACACTCTGAGGTTTTATCATAAAAGGGTGTTGCTTACTTGAGGGTCAAACAACAACCAAAAGCCCAAATGTGCTTCGATTTTCTTTTTTCAGATCTGTTGCCTAATTTCCATGGCTTATGACCAACCTTGTTTTTCTTTATTCATTTGATTAAAAACAATACTTTTCTCTCCTGTTGACGAAGTAAGTCGGCTTGAGTCAGCATAGTGACGGACACAAGCCCTCCTGTGCTTCCTGGGGCTGGGGCCGGGGGAGAGCTCATTGGTAACAGAGTCGAGACAACCAGAAGAGGTGACACAAGCCCCTGAAACATCTCAGCGCTGTGATTCAGGTCTTGGTTGCCTCCTACTCTGCATGTGCAGGTCCCCCAAAGGAACACACTGGAGTGATTCTCTTTCCGTTTCTCTCGAGGCTGGATAGAACATGAAGGTACAAAGTGCTTTCCTCTGGATCCTGGGCACACTGCTGATCCTGTCCTTAGGGCAGAGTCTTGGTCTCAGGAGATGTCTCATTTCTGTGGACATGCGCCATCTAGAAAGGAGTTTCCAGGAAATCAAAAGGACTTTGGTGAGGATGGGTTGGGTGAGGGTGTGGGCAAAGGGGTGTGTGGGTCACCTCCAGTCATGGCTGGAAAGACAAGCTCTTTCCTATTACCCCCGGTATCTCAGGGGAAAGTGAGATGTCATCGCCCATGTCTATTCTTCCGTTTCCTTCCCTAGCAAAACAAGGATGTCTTCCAAAATGTCACCATCTTGTCCACACTGCAAAGTCTGCAGGGCATTAAGGTATGGCTTGTCTATGACTGTTGTGTCTTTTTCTCTTAAAGTGTGTTTTAATCTTTCAAGTAACATGGCCCTGGAATAAGAAAGAAATCTCCACCCAATGTGTTGTCAGTGCTCAGGATTTCTTTAACCAAGAAGTCTGGACACACTTCTGTCCTGGGGTCCTAAAGAAATGCCACTTCCTTAGATTGTAATGGAGGGGGTGGGAGGCAGGCAGGTGCTCAGAGGGCAGGATTTTTGTGGTTTGGAGTCATTTGGAAGTTTCTATGAAGGGAAATGAAATAAAAGAAGAGCCACTGAAAAGCTGAGAGGCTGTAGAGTCAGGGACAGAAGAGAGAAGAGATCTGAGGTGCATGGGAGAATGGGATTATATGGCTACAAAATGTTTGTGAAGTGTGTGAAATCTTCCCTGTGGAGACCAAAGTGCAAAGAAAGCTTGATCTTCTCATCCTCCTTCTGCTTCTCTTCTTTCTCTCATCCTCTCTTCCCTTCCCTTCCCTTCCCTTCGTTCCTTCGTTCCTTCGTTCCTTCGTTCCTTCCTTCCTTCCTTCCTTCCTTCCTTCCTTCCTTCCTTCCTTCCTTCCTTCCTTTCTTTCTTTCTTTCCTCCCTCTCTTTTCCTTTCTTTCCCCTTTTCCTCCTTCCCTCATTTTTTTGGGTGCTGCATTCCTTTTTCTAATGCTGTATCTTTAGTAGCACAGGGTAATCTTTTGCCCCTCTAGTTTTTTTTTTGTTTTTGTTTTTTTGGGGGTCCAGTCGTGGGGCCTGAACTCTGGGCCTGAGCACTGTCCCTCAGCTCTTCAGCTCAAGGCTAGTGCTCTACCACTTGAGCCACAGCTCCACTTCCGGATTTTTTTCTGCTTATGTGGTGCTGAGGAATTGAACCCAGGGTCTCAGGCATGCAAGGCAAGCGCTCTATCACTGAGCCACCTTCCCAGCCCCTTTGCCCCTCTAGTTAAGGGCCCAGTGAGAATGGGAGAAAGGATTTCTGTTTTTTAATTTAATTTTATTTTTATTGTGAAAATACTGTACAAGGGGTTACAATTACATGGGCAGGATAATGAGTACATTTCTTATCAAGCATTGTAGCCTCCTCCTTTGTTTCCCCTTCCCATCCCTTCCCATCCTCCCCCCACTTCCCCCCACACTGAATCCACCTCCCCCTTTCCCCCTTCACCAAAGTTGTAAAGTTCGTTTTTCAACATAATGACTTGTACATCTCATTGTTGCAGTGGGTCCACCTGTATCCCTATTTAAATGATTTGTTTTTCCCTTCCCCTCCACCAATAATACCAACATCAAATACAGTGAAAGCAGGGGTTATATGTGGGGGAGGGACATACAAAGCAACAAAGAAATCATCTTATAAATATGTTAGAGGGGGAAAGGATTTCTGTGTGTTAAGTCAACTTTGCTGCCATCTAGGAAAAGCTACCCTGGAGGCCAGGGAGGCTGCTTCCTTTCAGGCTAATGAAGATGGATATGTTGTAAGCCACTCCCTACTTGGACTAAAATCTTCTACCAGTAATTGATGGGATGGACAGAGTACAGATTGTTAGAAGGACACCGTTTAGCCAGTTTCCCTGGGAGAGCTTAGGAAACCTCTCAGTCACATGCATGCAGTCAGTTTCCAGTCTTACAAATCTCAGTAGCATTCAAATGAGCCCTGCAGTTTACAAGGACAGTCTGGAAGAGAGCCCAGCACTGTGGTGTACAGCAGAGTAGCCAGGATAAAAGTAGCATCATGCCCAATATACCTGGCATGCTGTAGGCATGGGTCTTGATGGATGGGAGACATTATTGAGTAATCAGCTTCAGCCTCTGTAATGGAAGGAAGTCCTATTCAAGAAACCTGCTCAGCTGGGTGAGGGTGGCTCAGGCCTATAATACTAGCTACTCAGGAGGCTGAGATCTGAGGATTGTGGTTTGAAGCCAGGCCAGGCCAAAAAGCCCATGAGACTCTTATCTCCAATAAACTATCGAGAAAAAGCCAGAAGTTGTGCTGTGACTTAAGTGGTAGAGGGCTAACCTTGAGCAAAAAGAAGCTCAGGGACAGTGCCTAGACCCTGAGTTCAAGCCCCAGGAAGGGAAAATAATAATAATAATAATATTCTCAGCCACCAGCACTCTTCAGAACAAGTTTAAACAGAATATAGGAGTGACATGTTTGGGATTCTAATCGCTGATGGAAGATTTGGATCCCATTTTTTGGTTGCCATAACTCCCAGTCTTCCCCCTCAGTAGCTTGGCTGTGGGGAGAATGAATGAACACTTTGAGGCTGTTAGGAATTTTAGAAAATAACGTCTAGTTCTCTTGCTTCTTGCTGTCCCCACTTGTACAGATCATAAAAGAAGGCTCTGGGGGGTAGGAATCTTCTCTAATTTGTATCTGTAGCCCATAGATGTGTGCTGCGTGACCAGGAACCTCCTGGCATTCTACATGGACAAAGTGTTCAAGGATCATCAGGAGCCAAACCCCCAGATCCGGAGACAGATCAGCAGCATTGCTAACTCTTTCCTCCACACGCAGAAAACGCTGCAGCAATGTGTGAGTCTGTGAATCAGGGTTTCAGACATGTGCTCTCAGACTGACTAAGGAGAGCCTGGGCCAGCGTGGCACCCAGCATGCTTTCTGGTAGGGTTGGTGGGGGTGGGGGTGGAGTGGGGTCAAAGGAAATTCGCTGCCCTGTCATCTATGGAAGAACCATCAGGAACCTTCACACAGTGGTCACTCCTGTCCTAAGACTTCTGGTCAGCTGACATCTTGTCAGATGGGTCTCCTCTTGGACCATCCTCCTTGGAGAACCAGTTCGCCTTAAGCGTCTCTGTGAGGGGCATGTGAAGGATTCTGGTCTTACTGTAGTCTTTTTGAGTTTCTTTGTAAGGAATCCTCTGGGTTGTTTCTTGACCCTTATCCCCAAGGGTCACCTATTAAAATCAAACACCAGAATCAAAATCATAATGAAACAACAAAAAACTTAGATCCAGGTAAACCTGGGTTTCTATCTCTTTCCTGCTGTTCACTTGCTGTGGCAAATGACATCACCTCTCTGTGCCCCAGATTCTAACATGGTTAGAAAAGTGATAAACCCCACCCTGCCTACAATACTACAATCATGGACTCTAATGGGCACATTTAACCATTTCCCCCACCCGACAAATATTGAGTGCCTTACCAATTGGGGTGCTGCGATCGCAGAGGGGTGACAAGAAGATGTCATGTGTACGCTCTTGGTGCTGTGAACTCATAAAAAAGCCAAAGCTGTGGTCAGATGGCGACCACATTCATAGACAGGCACTAGTCTCCCCTGTCTGCTCCACCTGAATTTGCTCACCTGCCCCTCACCTGGGTGGGAGGAGAGATGTCGCTTCTCAAGTGGGAGGTGGCATGCCGGCGGGCCTGTGCTAAGGTCTGCTGACGGGCTGCCTCCAATGTGTCACGGCAGGAGCAGAGATGGTGCCACTGTAGTCAGGAAGCCACCAATGCCACTAGCATCATCCAGGACAACTACGATCAGGTGAGGTCGGGGAAGAAGATGGAGATGATGACAAATGAAGGGTAGTTGTCTTGATGGAGAATAACAGCCTTTCTGCCTCCTCCCTACTCTGAGTCATTTATTTTACACTCAGTGAGTCTTTGTGGCAGGTTTATCCTGCGTCTTTATCTGCAGTGTGCGTGCGTGCATGCGTGTGTGTGTGTGTGTGTGTGTGCGTGTGTGTGTGTGTGTGCGCATGCGTGCGTGCGTGCGTGTGTGCGCATGCGTGCGTGTGTGTGTGTGTGTGCGCGCGCGCGCACGCACTTGTGTGTTGGTCTTAGCTCATTGGCTGATTCTCTGTTATCCCTCTCCTAGTTTCTTTATACCTCTGCTTACCAGGCCTGACTGGGTTATAACTTGGGGAGAAGTACGTGGTAGGTAAGTTGGGGGTGATATAAAGGAAATGAGATCCGTAGCGAATTACATGCTGTTATGCATGGAGTAAACACGTTGTGTGTGGAGTATCCTGTGGCAGCACGCATCGTAGGTATTCTGCATCCTGATGAAGGCACAGTGCTTCCCGTGCAGGGGTCAATATAAAAGCCGTGCTTCTCATATGCTCGCATCATCGTGAGAACTGGCTCAAGGAATCCGGGGTTTCTGTGTTCTGACCGCACCCACAGATGATGCCACTAGCTTTGAAGAGCAAGGAGGTGTGAGGGTCTGTGCAGAGCTCTTTATCTCCATTAGGTAATGTAGCAAGAGCCAAGTGGTGAACTTGATAGTGTCCCAAGCCAATGAATGTGTGGCCTCATTGGTCTTTCACAATAATGCTATGAATATTATCTGTCCTGGGTGAATTAGGAAAACCAGGTCCCAGTATGTTAAGTGAGTTATTAAATTCCTCTCTGCCTCTAAGTGGTGGACGTAGGATTTTTGGTTCCCACTGGCTCTATGGATGCACCTTTAGATCTTCTCCCTTTCCTGTGGAAAGAGGTGGGGAAGTCAGGAGTCACAGTCTAGTTCTGATTCTTTGACTACTCAGCTGTGATTCTGTAGGGGACACAGGCCCTTAGGGTCAGGTGGGGACAGCATAATCTCCCTTTCCACTGGAGATCACCAAAGGTACCAAGACTTTCGGGAAGACAGAAGTACTAAAAGCAAGCTGACGTGAAAAGCAAATAAAAGAAATGGCCAGCAAGGAATCTTTCCTGTGACAAGCAAGGGGGTGGTGGTTGGGGTAAGAGGGAGAGGTAAAACAGAGGGAAAAGAAAGGATTTCTTATTTTGTCTATAAGGAGTTGGCATGATTTATTGGCTTGTTTGTAAACACCAAGCTGGTCAGCGATTCGGAAAATAATGCCAAATGGCTGCTACGCAAATATATTTGATACATTAAAAGCAAATCACATGGGGACTCAAGTCGAGGGACAGTGACAGCAAATGTTGGCCCAGTCTCAAGGTGTGAACTTATGGTGGTTTTATTGTTTTCAGCTGGAGGTCCGTGCTGCCGCCATTAAATCCCTGGGTGAGCTTGACATCTTTTTAGCCTGGATCAACAAGAATCACCAGGAAACTTCCCATGTTCAACACCAAGTTCCTGTGTAATTATCCAAGAATGAACATCTCCGGAGAGGTTTCTTATGATTATGGCAGACTTTAAAAGGGAGAAGCCTCCCTGCTGATTTGGGAGTCTCTCCTTTGGGGTTAGGGAAAGAAAATGAGTTTGGGCCAATCTCACCCTGCAAATGAAAAATCTCATGGGCTGGTCTCCGGCTGTCTGATCCCACCTGAAAATAGCCAAGTAGTCTGTTATTTTATTTATAATGACCTATACCTTCCAGGTTCTGGGAGCTAGCCTGGAAGGAAATGATCCGATTCCCATTAACTTATTGTAAAGTCATGTCTTCTGTAGTTTACGTGGGGCCGACTGACTTGTCTGAATAAACGCCATGCTTTACCTCTGAGAGAAAGTGCCTTCTGATTCAGGGAATCAGTCAAACACTAATACATAGCAACTAGTAGACTAAAAGAGGCATGAAGAACGTAGCTAGACGGGGAACTTGAAGCTCAGTGCGGGGTAATAGTTTACCTACCCAGGGCTCAAAACTGGTGCAGAAAATGGTTCCAAACAGTGTTTTAAGATTCCATTTTTTAGTTGTTGAAACAAAATATCTGGGGTTGGGTTACTTTCAAAAGAAGAGAGGTCTACTGAGCTCACAGTTCTGCGGGTTCAGGGACATGGGGCTGGCAGGGCCTTGGCTCTGCTGAGGGCTGCATGATTGAAGGCATCACAATAGCGAAAGCACGCAGAAGGAAGACACCTCGAGACAGGATGGCAGAAAATGATGTAGGGTTAAGGCTTGCTCTTGTCACAACGTATTCTCAGGAGATCCAAGATCCCAGGACACATAGCTTAGTTCATTCCCAGGGTACCCACTCAATGACCTCAGGACCTCCTACCAGGCCCCATCTTGTACAGATCCACCACCCTAGGGACCAAGCCTCTGGCATCTGAGACCTGGAAAGGGGCAAGCCTCATCAAACCATAGCACTGGCTCTTTACATTGTTCACTCAGGTGGGGCAGAGAAGCCTTCACTCTGCTTCAGATTTCCTCTCCATCTCCCTCCATTTCTGATATCTCTTCTTCTGTGCCTCTGTCTTCTCTCTCCATCTCCTTCATCTCTTTGATTTTCTCTGTATGCATTTCTTTGTTATCTCTCTTTCTTCCCAACACAGATAAAGACTAAACTAACGCTAATCCATTCTCTAAGGGTGGTAGGTGTTGTGCTGAGAATATATTTCTAGTGAGGGATGATTGTCATGGTGACAAACTTGAGCAGGTACAGCCCAGAGGCCTTGGACACCCTGGGCAGAGGGCCAAGGCCCTAAGGGGCTGTGGAGAAGGCGCCAAGTTCTAGATGAACACTTAGCTGCTTCAGAGGACAAAGACCTGTCAATAACCAGCGTGAAATAACAGCTGACATTTCCCAAGGCTGAGAGAAGAACTCTATGTGCATTATCCTGAGCCAGCATCTGTACTGCACCTGGCTAGCTGCAGTTACCTTTCTTCTTTCCTACAGCCTTTACCCAAAAGGACACCATGTAGGCTGTACCCCACACCTACCACTTCCACCTTGGAAAACCTTACCTCTCCTTCCTGTTTTCCTAGCATCCTGTGTTGTTTCTTTTCTGCCTCGTTATTCAAATGTAAGATCCATGAGTGTGGAAAGAGGAGAAGGCACATTGATGGTATAGAGCACACACACACACACACACTCTCTCTCTTTCTCTCTCTCATCTCAGGTATTTTGCCTGAACTCTCTGTCTCTTGCCTATCCTTCCTTTCAAACCTGAAGAAAGTGTCTCACCTCTTCTTTGGGTCCTGAGCAGGCTTGTCACTGAATTAGAACTGCTTCTTACACAATGCGCACTAATTGCTGAGTGTGTTGGTACACACCTGTAATCATAGCTACGCAGAAGGTATGGGGAAAGAGGATTATGGTCTGAGGCGGGCCCCAGGCAAAAAGTATAAGATCCTTAAGCACAAAGGGCTGGAGTTGTGGCATTCAGTAGAGCATTTGCCTAGCAAGCACAAGGCCCAGAGTTCAAACCCAGTACAGCCAAACAAAAGAAAAGGAGAAAAAAGAAATACTTGTTAAATATCCAAGTATACAATTACCCTTCCCCCCAAACCTTCCTTCTGAGTCCTCTATGAGCTCTGGTCATTGCCCTGAAGAAGTTGGGCTTTACCTCACCTGTTTGGTATGGGAGGAGGGGGACCTCTGGGTGTCTAGGAGCATTTCACGTACAGCATCTCATTAAGGCCTCAGAACTGGCCCCGGAGCTTGTAATTCCTGTGCCCACTGGGTCAGAGAAGGCAACAGAGGCTCAGGGCAGTGGGAAACTTGTCAAGGCTCCATGGTAAAGGGACAGCAGATCCAGAAGTTGAGTCCAGGCCCTGTCTATCTGGTCCTGGGGTCCTCTCTTCCTACTGCTGGGGAAATTCTCTCCTCTCTGGCCAAGGTCATATGACCCAGGATCCAGGTTACTGCTCTGAATGCCAACAATGCTTATAATTAAACCCAGGCATATCAAAAGAAGCCTTGACTAATGAGCAACACACTCCTGAAGTGGCACACAAGTTCATGGGCCAACACAAAGCAAAGCTTCTGAACATGTCACACGATGTTCCTGGCCCAGATGACACTCTGGATTTCTCCTGGGGACATTCTATCCTTCTTCCACTCTTTTTAACCCTCAGAGAAAATTGCTGCCAGCCAAGCATGCTCAGGGTAGCTATCTTCTAAAATCACCGACTTGTCGGAAGTCGGGACGGACTTTGGTGTGAAACCTTGGCTTCAGCACCTACTTAGTGACTTTGGACAGTTTACTAAGGCCGTGTCTTACTTTCTGGACTGTTCAGTGTTGGAATTATTATGAGGATTTGAGAGCCTGTGTATTCAGGGCTGGATGTGAACAGCATACTCATTAAAAATGATGGATGCTACTGAATGATTTCCCATAATTCACAGTTGTCAAGTGAGACAAACAAGAGGTGCCAGAACAAATCTGCATCTTCAGAATGGGAGATAGAAATCTCCGTAGCTCTGTGTGTTGAGTCCCTGCAGTGTCTGCAGGGGGCTTGCAGTTTCTGCATTGGCATCCATGTCCAGACTGCCTTCCTGTTCTTGTATTGCAGGCGGGCTCACTACCCTTCTTTTCCTGTGACAGCTCTCCCTGGGGCACCTTCATGAACACCATGTAGGAATCTTCCCTGGACTGACTCCAGTATCTTGCTAGGCTCAGTATGGTCTCTCATTACACTTAGAACAAGACACAGAGCAGTCTATGTACTTGATGTGTCCCATGCCTCTGTGAACCGTTGTCTGAACGTGGCAGCCTAGCAAACTCATCCTTTCTGAGGTGAGCTCAGGGCAGGGGTCAGTGTATCGCCTGTGAGCAAGGAATTTTGTGGTGAGGTTAGAGTCTTAGAAAGTGGCTATGAGCCCAGAGCTGGTGGCTCACACCTATAATCCTAGTTACTCAGGAAGATGAGATCTGGGGATCGAGATGCAGACCCATTCCAGGCAGATAAGTCTGAGTGTTATCTCCAATCAACCAGCAAAGTCTGGAACAGATGTGGCTCAAGTGAATGAAAAAGAGAGGTTCAAGCCCAAGTAGTGGCACACATAGAGACACAGAAAGACATAGACCGACAGACAGACAGACACACATATACACAGAGAGAGACACCCACACAGAGACAGACACATATATATTGCTATGAGCTCTCAGATACTCCGCCCAGCCATGGAATCTGTTACTCCCTTCCTGTGGCTCTGCTTGCTTGAAGATCTGAGGGCTGTAGGTGATACCTCTCCATGTGTCTTAGGTTTGAAGCTGGATCCAGGAGCCAGGTGCTCTGCATAGGCCATCACTGGTCCTGGGAGAGAGCTTCGGGATCCAGTGTTTGGAACAGGAGCATCCTTTATTACACCTTACTTAGCTAGCTGAACCCTCAACACAGGCTTAATTAAATTTTAGAGAACCCTTAACCCCACTTCAGGGCAGAAATCGATCTTCTTACTTCTTCTGCTCTACCTCCACCCTACTGGTGTTCCTTGGGATCAAAAGTGTCAAGTTAGAGATATCTCAGTGCTCTTCTCTTTCTAGAATCAGTTTCCAAGGACACAGCGACTTTGTGACTGGTTGCGCTCGTAATTACACGTTCCCTGCAGAAATGTAGGCATACAGGAAGCAGAAGCTGTGTAGTCAGCGCCCTCTTGAGGAGATCTTTTTGGGCTTTGGGAGTCTCTGAGCCAATCCTCTGTTCTCCATTTGGAATCTTTACCCTTTGCTTCATTTCCCTGGGTTCGTGCTCACCACAAGAACTCAGTGTTCCACTCTGTTTGACCCGCTTGTGTTAGTTTGATTTAGCCTCAGAGTCCTTAATTGAACAACCCTGAAGCTTGAAGGGCAGGCTTCTTACCCAATGCCTGAGCTGGCCGTCCCCCTCTAGAGCAAGGAGGAAAGCTAGCACTGCCCACCTGGCAGCCAGGTGGTCACAAGGGCAAGTTATATGGCATCATCAGTCAAGCAAGCACCTTCCCATCTGGGCAGAGCTTCTCAGTGTGTTCAGCAAGCAAGTCTGGTGAGCTCCTGGGAGAAGAGATGACGTTGATTCAGACTCTGAGTGCGTTACCAGGGGGAAACAGACACGAGACGCAGGAAAGTCATGATGACCTTGAATGCTCAGCATGACTGCAATCAGGCCCATTTTCAACTCCTTCAATCCGTGCCCCAACATCACCCAACACCCAGTACTGCTACAGAAATGCTCTGTAGCCAGCGAGACTCTGGTGGCTCACCCCTATAATCCTAGCTACTCAAGAGGCTGAGATCTGAGGAGCTCCATTTGAAGCCAGTTGGGGCAGGATATTCCATGAGACTCATTATCTCCAATTAACCACCCAAAAGCCAGAAATGGAACTATGGTTCAGATGGTAGAGAGCTAGCTTTGAACATTAAACAACAACAACAACAAAAAAGCTCAGGGATAGCACCTAGGACCCAAATTTAAGCCCCAGGACTAGAAAGAAATAAAGGAAATGCTCTGCAGTCTCCAAAACTTTGTTCCAGCTTTCCTTGCTGTAAGGGGTAAAGCCATTTTTGATCCTGCTACAGACTCCATCCAAAAGCTTACTGGACCATGAGTCCTTCCAGGCCTTACTCCAACCACTTTGAGGATCCTCAGATACCAGCCTTGCCACTCGGCAGTAGTCTCAATCTTCTTTCTCCACCCAAGACCCTATAGAAGCACAGGCTCTGGCTTTTCCTAGGAAAGTCCTGATGATAATTTCATCTTGTCCTTCTCCGAGCATGTGTCACAACTGGGGAGGTGTGGCCACAACATCACAGGTCTTTGCCCCTGCCTTTGTGCGCCTTTGATTTCTTCA